AGAAAAAAAAAAAAAAAAAAAAAAAAAAAAAACTGTAGCAATATCAAAGATTAGAGGTAAAAGCGCAAATACAAAATAAAGGAAGCGCTGAGTCCAATAATACGGAAAACAGATCCGATGTTACCACATCTATTGTAGATGTGAAAATATGTAGAAAACAGCAACAATAGTAAATGTGTATGGAATCTCATTGTATCGGATGTCCTTTTCTTTTGTTCCGCTTTGTTAAGAGAGATGGAAGGAGAAAGAGAAATAAAAGGAGAGAAGGAGGAAGTCTGTAGATATACTTTTCTCTGTTTCTTTGCAATTTTTCTCATTGTATATACAATTGTTAATAATCCTTCCCTAGATTTCTTTCTTTTTTTTTAAAAAAAATTTGACTTTGTTTTTCTCCTTTTGCCCTCTTTTCTTTCCACATAGAAACCCAGACTCACCCCCAATCGTTTATCTTTTTTTCTCTCCTCTTTTTCTCTCTATACCTTGTAACTGTTTTTTTTTTTTTTCTTTTTTGCCTTTACTCCTCCCTACTATGACTTCCCCGTTGGGGTGCCCCCCGAACTGAAGGAAGCTGACGCCATCTTCACAGGCGTTGGAATTGACGCCCCTCCCTCACCTTCACCCATATCTGTATTTGAGGGTGTTTGTGTGCACATTGTTGTTGTAGTCGTAAACGTAGGAGTAGGAACAGGAGTAGTAGTAGGAGTCGTATTGTTGTTGTTGTTGAATGGTGGGAGTGGGGCGGGACTTCGAGGGCGGGGTTGGGCCCACTTGGGCGTTGGAAGCCCCGAACTGTCGTCGGAGACCACAGATGTTCCCCGCGTACGGATCTGCGCCTCAATGCCCCCCGACCGCCTCTGCGTTTCCAGAGCTCCCAATCGTCTCTGGGCCTCGAGGAGTTCCTCCCGCAATTTCGCCGCCCGCGCGCGGTCGAGAAAAGCGGCCTGTTGAATGCTCGCAAGACTCCGCCCGAGTTCTGCGCAGAGAGACTCGTTGATCGCACTCGCCCGCACCGCTGCCGCGTGGCGCCGCAGGAGATCATTCAACTGCCGCTCAAGATGATTGATCGCCACGTGTGTTTCCTCAGAGGCGGGGCGCAGTGCGACAGGAGGAGCCGCGGAGGCCTCCACCACAGCAGGAGTGGCATCGGAGTCTCGCTTGAAATGGGCGAGACGTTTAGAAAGTACATCAAGATAACTACGACGTTCCTTTAGTAGTTCACGCTCAACCTCACGTTTGCTATTTACAACTTCCACTAGCTTCTTTTGTAATTGAAGCATTAATGATTCTTGTTCTTGTTCCACTTGTGTTTTTAATTCCGTCTTCTGTCCACGAACTTGGGCAATTTGCTCCATAATTTGTTGACGTGCAACCTCTTCTCGACGAATAAGAGCATGTAAACGGCTTCGTTGAAGCTCTTCAATCTGTAAACGACGTAAAAGCTGATTTGCTAATTTCTCTTCTTCAATCTCTGTACTCTGTTGAAGACGAACAGATTCTTCGCAAAGAGCTCCTATTTCCGCTTGTAGTGCAACTGATTCTTCATTTAGTGTAAAATGCGTCTTGCGCAGCTGCACGTATTCATTGCGTAATTCTTCATCTGTCATAAGACTAGGAGTGCGATCACGTTCTAATCGCGGTGTAGTTGGGAGAGAACACTTGCTCATTTTTTTTTTTTTTTTTTTTTGATTATTTTCTACACTCCTTCTAATTCGTATATGTATGTTTTCAACTCACTTCCTTCTTCTTTTCTTTCTCTCTTTCAATGTACCTGGGCGTGTGTTTTTTGTTCGTCGCGTACAAGCGATCTTTATTTGTTGTGACTATTGGAGTCTTTTTTTCTGCCTCTTTGTTTTTTTTTTTTTTTTTCTTTTGATTAACTTTTATTTTCTTTTTCTTTTTTGTTTATTTTCTTCCTTTCCTTCACTTTCTCCTTTTCCTCCACACTTTTCTTTCCTTTGATTTGTTTTTCTGTATGCTCTCCTACAGTCCCCCCCTTTTGGGATGTAGTGGTGGTTTTTCCACTTACGACCAGATTCACAGAAAGAAAAATAAAATAAAAATCAGAAGAAAAAAATAAATAAATAAATATAAATACGATAAGTGTCATCATAAATAAAACATCATATATTAAAATGGCAAAATACCACAGTAATGGAGAACAAAAAAAAAAAAAGGAAGAGGGTATGAAAGAAACATACGAGACACAAAACACCATAGAACATATAAATAAAAAGAGAGAAAGGATAAGATAAATATATATTTATATTATATGGTTAAATCTATGGATGCTAGGGAATTTAACTTCACAACACACCCTCAAAAACGAAGCGTAGCCTGACGCAAGCGACCACCTTCTTCTGTTGTGGCTCCTCCCTTTGTCTGATGTCGCGATACTCCATCACGTGCACCACCACGACCTGCTCTCGCCCCTCCTGCGGCTGCGGCTGCAGATGTTGAGGCTAAGGCTGTTGGCAACTTACCCGAACCCACCATCACCTTTGCTGTGCCACTATGGCTCTCTGGTGGCTGTGGAATAATATCCGACAAGAATGAAAAGCGGTCAAAGTAGTGCACCACACGTGCCACATCGGTGTACGTGACGGTTTTGCGTTGTTGCCGCTCCGCCTCTGCCGCTGCCAGTCGTGTGAAGTCGCGCAGCATGAGGACCACCGCGTCCGAGGCGGTGAGCGCCGCATCCTTCGCGACGATGGAGGAGAGGCCGTGGAATTTGAGGAGCTCCCGCACCCGTGAGAGGGGAAAAGTGGAGCGGCCACCCCCCGCAGCGGCATTGGGCGAAGCAGCAGAACTTCCACCGGGATGGAAACTGTCAACATTCCCCATCACATCATCTCCATCCTCATCCTCATTCTCTTCTTCTTCATTTGGGTCATTCATGTCGTTTTCTTCTTCCTCGTGTTCTTCCCCCGTTGCAAAGAACATACCCGCAATTGGTGCTGTCTCATCATAATCAAAGGAATGCTGTACTTGCTGTTCCTTCTCTTCATCTCTGTTAAGGAGTGCAGCATGTGCAATATCCTTCTCCCAGATATCTTCTGTGTCACCTAGTACAGCTAATGAATCTTCTTCTGCTCTTGTTGATATGGCAGATACTCCTCTTGGAGCTTGATCCCCGTTATATTCATTAAACGTCTCTGTTTCCTGATTACCACCATCAGTAAAAACCGCTAGACGGGGAGTGAGAAATGCCGCCTCGTGGATATCTAATGTCTGTCCATCTTCCATCGTCTCGTACATTTCTTCATTTATTCCTTCACGCCCTTCTTCCTCCATCCTCAACCTACAGAGAGAGAATAAAAGAGAAGAAAAAAAAGAAAGGAATCCCCCTTCCCCACTCTCTATCCCACGACTAGGCACACACACACAATAAAAAAATAAACCGAGAAACCAAAAAAAAAGGCACAACACGGAATAAAATTATATATCAACACTACTCCCACACCTTCTCTCTTCAGAGAGAATGAAAAGGAAAGAAAGAAAGAAAAGAAAAAAAAAAAGAAAAAGAAAATGGAGAATCAAAGCAACTAAAACAAAAAAAAAAAAAAA